CGGCTTCGGCCCGCCGACGCGATCGTGTCTGTTTTGCTTTCATATGATGACATTTTCCTGACAGAAGGGTGTCGGGAGAAACACCTCGCGCTGATCATACGTGACAAAATCCGCCGCGCCTAAACTAATTAAGAAAAGTCTCCTCGAAAGCTCCATACAATTCCTTATAACAAAATTATAAGGAATTGTATGGAGCTCTCCGGGATACTTACAGTGCAAGCCCTTTGTGTCCCCTCATGGTATGACGGGCCTGTATTCTTTATCCGGAAGAGGCCGCCAGATTTCTCCATCACTTAGCATCGGAGCGTGGGCAAGATTGGTGTAAATAGAATACCATGCGCTTGTACAAGCCCAGCATGAAGTGGAAGGGGATGGGGGTGGAATTATTTTTGCTAAATGGAGAGGGGGGTGCTTGAAGTAGCTAGGGAGAATCTATGGCCCCTTCTCTTAGTGACAGCACTGACCAGCTGTTCATTTTCTCTCAAAAGTGCAAGGGTAGAGGGGGTAAAAACAAAGATTAACATTAATGGAAATTAATTATTTCTTTATGTGTGATTAGTTTTTCAGTGATGGCATCCTGTTAATAACAACATTTTTTGACATCTTAATACAAGGATTTCAGATATCGGAATCGTTAACCCGAAAGCCTGGATTTCGTCAATGGTTTTTCTCATCTGCACAAGCAGACAGGGTCACAGTCCTTACTTTAAAGTCTGGCTGTCAGGAACGCCTTGTCCCTGACTGTCAAAGTGTGTTTTAAGGCGACCTCTACAGTGGAGGAATTAAACTGTTTATGTTTTCTTAAAACACATTCTTTTGAAATATGAAAATGTTTGTTTTCAATTTTAGGAATCCACTTGGAATATTTCTCGCAGTAAAAGTGGTCTTCCTCTTTGTGCCGCAAACAGTACTGTGAGTCCAAATAATCTGCACCGTACTTTGGTGGCCCATCCCTGAGAGGCAGTCCACATCCAAAACACTCGCGAATGTTACCTTGAATGTCAATAAGCTGAAAAGGCTCATCACTTCTGCTAGTTGATACAGGCTTAGGAGGCCTCTGTGCAGATACCCTTGTAAATACCATCTTCAATCCGCCTTGGTGCTTACTCTGATAATGGAGTTGGGAAAAGTCTGGAGGTATATCTGAAACTACCTCCCCAAGAGTGGACCGTCCAGCAACTGCACTTAAGGGTTCACTGCTCCTTCTTCTCACCCTTGGAACATCCCCAGGTTTACGACCTGCAAACTTGTTTCCTCGAGCAGTGGCAACTGGTGTGGTATTCGGAGTGATGTCTTCCCTACGATAAACATCAACAAACTCCTGTAAATCTTTGTTGTCTGATGCAGCTGCAAGTGTATGTAGCAAACTTTCCTTGCTCTGAACTGAACGCAAGAGGCATCACATTTGTACTTGTGATTGCTAACTACAGAAACTAAATGGGGTTGTTCACCTGAGTCACTCGAAACAATGCGTGATTTTGGACCAGAGAAACGTACACGTATATTTCCATCCAGAATCCTTGCCACTTTTGCTTTAAGAGCTGAAACTTCACTAGGCAGAAATGGCAGATCTCCAATGGGCTCGAGTGGGTCTTGTTTTCTTTGGTTTGGATGGAGAGGAAGCTCAGAAACCTTATTCAGGTACTTCACTTTTCCCACTGGCCAAGTTTCCAGAACTCTGCCCCCACAGCAAACTCAGCATAATCCTCTTTGACAGCATACATGCCAGGTGTACCACAAAATGCTCTTGAAATGTCATGCCTTTGCTTGTCATGCAATTCCTTTATATCACGTACAAACTTTGGAATATCTCTTCATTCTCCCATTTCTCGATTAATGCATTGATACTCTCTGGGTCCTTATTTCCAAATAATTCAACATCAATGCCAAACTCACGGAGTGCTGCAGATCTACAGTGACGTTACACAATGTCTGCCTTATTTTTCACGAAATGTTTTGCAGCATTCGGTTCTTGTGTGTCCTCTTTTTTGGCACGTTCCTCACTTTCATTTCTGTCCCATTTAACACATAACTTTGAAAGGAGAAAGTCATACTCTGCGCGTGTAGTACATTGTACAAGTCGCTCCTGAGTTTTGTGTCCAAAAACATCTGCAACTACTTTTCTAAATAACTTGTCTGACAAATTCAGTTCAGTCTTCAACTTGTGCTCAAGATTTCTTACTATGTGCGTCCTGCAGACAAAGCCCAAAGCAAACGGAAATTCTAGTTCAAGAGCCTTTCTAAGTGGGAGCTCTGCATCTGCACCATATGCCTTTAGCTGATCTTTAATTTCAGGACAATGAGAATTTATTTGTTGGAAAAGAAATTGGTACGTTTGGCCTGTCTTTTTTCATGCACATCATTACAGGCCCTAAAATAACAGGTTCATTGTTACTGCGTTTGGTAAGCAGTTGTAAATGCTTGTATGTAGTGACGACGACATAAAAATTTCCAAGGTTGAAAGTCATGTCAATGCACAATAGTGAATTTGGTCCGTCCTCATTGCAACAGAACTTTTTTAAGTCCTTCATTTGTTCATCTGAGAACAGTACAATGATGGGAGAATTTCTGTGACTGATCGAATAAATGGTTTCTCTTCTTCCAACTCCATGTCCAACAAGGCAGAAACCGGGTCACTTTTGGACGTTTCTTTGTCTTTTGATTTAATATATCTAGCTCGCCTCTCGTTTCGAGGCAATGCTGAGGCATTGAGTCTGCATACATACCCCCAACAGCCACCTCAAACTCATGAACTGCCCTCTTTACACCTTGAGATTTAACTGCAGCAGTAAGTTTCTCAAGAGTGCTTTTTTTAGTGGGAATGAAGGGATCCTTAGATTTTGCATTTCCATGAGGTTTGTTCCTAACAAAGTGCTCATTTCCATCAAATCGATACTGCACAAAGGCAAAAGGGATGTAATTACCATCAGTTCCCTGCACTGTGACCACAAGCCGATGGAAGTCTGGAGAGTTAGTATGGGTGTACCTGTGGCGCTCCATTGTATAAGTACCACTAGGTTCATGAGATGAAGGGTTGATATCCATCATCCCTCCATTGGCATTGCGTTTGACTTCATAGCTTTTCTTCTTGGGAGCTCTTGTTTTTTGCCATGTATGATCATCTTGCCGGTCATTTGGAGCAGTTTTAAAGGTCTACAATAACAGCTTTGTTACATGTGAGGCCAGGAGGCAAAGATGGAACTGCAAGGCTCGTCTTTGTTAGAAGCAGCTTTAAGACAGTAGCATTGTTTGCAATTTCTTTTTCATCTTCTAAAAGTCTAACAGAGAAAAACAATTTCTATTAAGCTTGTGAAGTGGTTACATTGTACTTTGCTATTCCCTTACTTAAAAGATAAAACATATTTAATGTGCAAAAAATAATAAGTGTTTTCTGCTTTGAGTTTTGTCATTTCACGGGCCAACTGTGCACGCCTATTGTCCTTTTATTTTTTTAGTTTGAGCCGCTACATTAAAATTTGCCAAAGGCAGCCCAAGGTAGCAACTTCATACTCAGTTTCTTAGTAGGCTCCTTCGCATCTGCTCAGGCTGGAGCCACACAACTGTCCCCATGTTTTAATTCACAGCTGCTCTCTGAATAACGTGATAGTTATCCATTAATTTTCCACACAAATTCTGACCCCTGTTAAGTGCACAGTACTGACACAAAGGATCCATTTCAACTACACAACTCAAAAATTGATGTGGAGTCGAAAAATACATTTTACCACTCTTACACTCACTTAAGACGGTGTTCAAAGTTTTCTTTAGTGCAAGTTAGTGGGTGTTGCATCCTAGAGAAATGAATGAAAGGAGATAAAGATAGGATTTTTTTTCAAAAACCCTATCTTGCCTTGTTATGATGGAAATACTGAAAGGAACCCTGTAGTAAACAAAAATGGAAGGCAACTCTGATGTTATTCTTTACAAAGGTTTTCTTCCGTAGCAAATAATTTCATCTCAAGGGGTTTTTATCTCAGAGACATAATCAAACAAACCTGTTACTTTCTTCCACATCTTCATCTTTTTGAAAGAGTTTTCTTGTAGCTACACTATTTTTCTTTTTTCTTTTGCTGTTTCCTTTGCTGGAGAATTCTCAGGACTTGCCACAACCTGACAAAAGCATTCACAGAATTAATTCCAAGTTAAAGCAATACATGTACCCTGTATGTTATATTGTTAAATTTATACTGAATGCAAGATGCATTTCATTATTCATCTTGTGATTGCACTTCGTGGAAAGTTAATGGGTTGTTGTCATACATGTTCTAATCATTTTTTCATGATAACTTGTTTAAATGTTCACCAATCGTAGGTGCTGATTAAAATATGAAGAGGTGAGGGACTTACCAGAACTTCTTCATGGTCATCTTTCCTGGAAGCAAAATATCAGTGCTTTAGGTTGCTGTTTACAGTAACAGGGTACTGTAAAAATGTGACGACAATGAAAAGAACGTTTCACATGAAAAAATGACGATAGGACTTTTATCAATAAATTTGCTTACTTTTACTGCATGTTTCTACTGTTTTCAAGTTTTACTGAAATGGTCACTTAAGGAAGATGGTATTGGGAAGTTATGCTGGGAAGAACTGTCGCTCTTGCAACGAGTGTAGAAAGGGTGTAGATCCAGCAACTCAAAAAAAATTACAAGGGAAGATCAACAAGTGGCCTATTACGAATATTGAATGAATGTTTTGGCATGAAACTATGATATCACAATCCAATATAATGAGACAACTGCCATCTTTCAGCTGTACTAGAATTAATTGATAGGACCTTTCAGGGAGTCAGTTTGTGCCTCAAGACAACAGTGTGACCAGCCGTGAGAGATTACCGCATAACAAACTGAAATGGGCAACATTCAAAATGTCTTACTTGTGACTAATGATAAAGAAAATGGCATAAATTAGTTCTACTATATTATGTTTTTTGTGTTACTTCAAGTATTGCCTTATGCATAGACTGTATTAAAATAAAGTTGAAATGCTTCGAGTTAAGTGGGTTAGAGAGGATTCTGCTTCAAGTTATTAAAGCAGTAAACGAAATTTATCATGTAAAATCTACGTACCATTTTTGTTCCCTATTTTGTTCTATCATTTCTTCCAAAGGCAGCAGCAGATCATCATTGTCATCACTGCAGAAAATAAAATAAAAAACACTTTGACTTATCCTTAACCAAGACATAAAAAAATTATTACTCTCGCTCTGCAGTCAGCATATATAGTACCAAATGTGTGCAGCTAAGCAAGATCTTCCTGGTCTAGAGTTTGTAATGAATATAGCTACAGCAGCAGAATTTTTCTCCCAATTCTGGGTGTGCAGATATCCAGCCAATTGTTTGTTAGGTACCATTGATTTTATTCTAAAAGGTGTTATTATTAAAAAAATGTTTCCAGGTACATACCTATTATCACTCACAACTAGCTTTAATGCGACATAGTCCTAATATTAATAAAAACAATAAAAAATGTCTTGTTAATAAGACGTTATGTGGGGAAGGACAGAGGGGTGGGAGCTGGGAAGAATAGGGGGAAGAAGGGGACGGTTAGGGTTAGGGGTGAGTTGATAAGGATGTGAAGGGGGAATTATGAACCCTTTTTGAACCAAGGTATTTGGAATAAAGAAATTTTAAATACAGAGACTTGAAACACATGGCTAAATTGCAGAAAACCTGGCCCACTAAATATCTAACTTAAAATACTGCTCCCGCAGTCCTACAGTCGTCCGATTTTAGTGCATAATAAATGCTATCATCAACTTAAAAACATTTTACATGCAGAAATTAAGGATGCAGGAATATTGCATAAACAAAATAAATGAATAATGATCAAAACCGTAATTGTCGTAGAAAAAGTGTTTACCTGCATACTATCTAGCGAGTAAGGCCTTTTGTGAACGAAAATGAAAAAAGTTTGTTCAGGGCTTTCATTTGTTTCCTGATTTGTTGAAAACTAACAACAACAACACACTATATTAGGAAACAGATACTTATTAAAATTTGAATAGAACTTACCTACAAATAATCAAAAACTAGTCGAGATTAAGTTAGGCTTATTACAGCTGGAGCAAATTTTGGTGCGTCCGACCTCCTCGTACACACGATACTTAAATTTCTTACCTCGATAATCTGCACTTCGTCATCCTCTACAAATAAATTGAAGACATTCATTAGTAAATTAAGCCATCTAGAACGTATGGGAGACCTTTTTGAAAGCCATGACAAAGCAAAATAATAGGATGCAAATAGATTCTATGCAACTTACCATCCCACGCGCACGCCGACGCCATTTTTATAATCTGCGACACTCGGGCTATTTGACCCCGTTGGTATCGGGCAGGGTAAACGCTAGTTTCCGTATCTCAAACTGCCCTTGGATACCTTGTGATAAACCAAGATGGCGGAAGAAAATGGCAGGAGTTTGTTGTTCAAGTAGCCGTAGTAGGCGAGAGCAGTCGTCTTGTTTAGCAGCACGCAAAGTTTTGCGGATACTGGCAATATATTCGTTTGTCATCCTTTATAGTATAAGCATAGAAATGCTATTTGTATCTTGGAAGCACTTTATCCGGTCACCTTTCGAGCTTCATGGTAAAATGTGCAAGACGGAGTGATGGTAGGAGACTTTATTATTTGTTTGCTTGCGTTTTTTAATATATTTATTTATTTATTATTATTATTTTTTTATTTCCAAAAAAGAGGGGTCCAGAAAGGGGTTCAGAAGGGAGGGTCCACGTTTTAATCTCTGATATAGATCTTGTACTATATTAAGATCTGTTTTTTTTTTAATCTAAAAAATTGGAAGTTTAGCCGTGCCTTTATCAGATAGAAACTCATTAAGCATTTCTTTCTTTTGTTTCTCTTTATGGATTATTAATGAGTTTTTGAATGTCAGTTAAAGTGACTGGAAATTTTTTTTGAATTTCTCGTCATGCAATGGCTTTTAATCGCTGGTCTCTGGTGAAAGGTTTACAACAAACTCCACTACAGCTGTACTAACCTTCTCGTCTAAATTTATTGTAATAGTTTTAGACATTATGCATATTTTCCATTAAGAGGACTTCATTTTCAGATGGTACTTTACACTCTTACTAAAAGTGAATTACCTGACACATACCGTCAGAAATGTCAATAAAATCTTGCTGATCTTCCTCGAAGACACTACTTCTAATAACTTCAGAAATGTCTTTCCCGTCAGTGTAAACCTGAAATCAAAATGAATAATTATACGAAAAGCACAAATTACAATCTGAAATGAGGTGGTTTATAAAGTTAAGGGGAAACTGCCTGTCTCATTTTTTTTAATAAGAGCATGCAGTGACCTTCTCCTTGTGACCTGTGTTTTGTAACTGCCACTTGCCAAATTAAGTTAAGAATTTTGTTCAAAAAAGCAAAATCAGCTTTACTAGTTTTAACTTAACGTGTCTGGATTTTGCCCCATATCTTATTTCTCATAAAACTGTCCAATGTGTCTTCCAATTAAGTAAAAAAAGACTTGATTATTTGATTACCTTTAAAACAAATTGGTAGAACACTTCTGCTGCATAATCAGATAGCTGAGAAAGATCAGCATTGTCCACCCTCTGCCTTTTCTTTCCTCGTTTCCCTTTAGCAACCGACCCACCAACACACTTCTCTGACAGCTCCACATATCTTTCCTCGATTTCACGTAGCCTGCCCTGCCAAAATTCCAGTCTTCTTTGAACTTATTTTCCAGTTTCTTAGGAAAACAGATTAGGTAGTCACACCACGAAGTGTAAGGCGGTATTATTTTTAAGGGAGGACTATTATGCAAGAACACAAACCACTGGGTGTGCTTTACATGCTAAGGAACATTCACTTAGTTGGGATGTAGTAATCTGATGCAATAATGATGTACCCTTGATACACAATGGTCACGTCATGGGGTTGTATTGATACTGACAGTGCTAGCTAGCCTATAACAACTTCCAGTGTAGATGGATGTAAATATAGTCATTAACTCAAACTGTCTGGTTTATCACAGTCAAAGGGAAGGGAAGGTTTTAAATAACAGTATAATGACTGTAACATGTACCTGAACCCGTGAGGGTAATAGTCTCCTGCTTTGAACCAAAGCTGGTGAATGTGTCTGAAATAGCCGTGTCCTGATAGTACTAAAACAAATTATTAAAAATTATATTCATTGAATATTTTAAACAGAAACCATTTTTTTCGGCGTATGTCTCTACATACTACACAAAAAATATTATTGTGTGTTGCACTGGTTTAAGTGAAACATTCAAATCATGCGATATCCTGAGCCATACCTTGATTCTATCATTACAAAATGTGACTTATTCAAGAGCGCCTCTTTAGCACTTTCTGGATCAGCAAAATATGACTTCAATTTGTCATGAGGCAAGCAGTTCCTGACAATCGTTTCAATGTTTGTGAGGAACTCACGTTCAGGAGAACCTTCAGGAAAAATAGTACAGAAAGAAACAAACGGGATTTAAATTCACAACTTAATGACATCTTCATTACAAACCAGTGTTACAGTTTTCATATTAAGGATCAAGGTATTGTACAAATGAAACTCATGCAGCTGCTACAGCACAGAAGTAAAAGCCCTGAAGTGGAATATAAAGCGAATGAAAGCAATCATGACAAAAATGAAACAAGATAGAAGGTACCTGAAAATGAAGACACCTGAATGTTGTACTTTTCAACAGCAGTTTCTTGGCCCTCCTTCACCTTCACCGTTATTCTGCTGCTAAAATTCTCAGGGCCATAATTTGCCAATTCGGCATTACATTCATCAAGTGAACCCACTTTGTACGAAAACAAACCCAATGATGACAACAGCTGTTCAGTTATATTTCTAAGTTCGCAGTGAAGGGCGCAGAGATTAATAGACGATAAACCTCTTCAAGAAGGAACTCTAAGTCATCACGGATGCCTTTGAAACTAGAAAAAAGAAGATTCATTATTTTGTTAGTTGTGGGGGATATCTCCACTAAAGTGGTACTTAACAGTTTTATAGATTTCAAACTCAAGTATTTTACTCGACAGGTTTTTAGCCTTTTATGACAGTGCCCCTACAACATTGACACACCTACAGTAAAAGAAGACAGTGATATATTATTATGGGAAAATAATATGTGCTCTCTAGGAAAACAAGACAAGGATAATTGCCAACATTTTATAGAAAGGGGCATTAAACACCATGTTTGTCCAAAATAAGCTTTTTGTTTTCTTTTCCATGCAGTGGAACTTCCCCTTTTACAAAAGGCAAGGCTTAATTTATAAAATATTATTTACTAAAATGAGGTCTATATAAAAAAGTTAGTCTTTAATAGAAAACATACTTATTAAGCTATAAATGCTGGGATGAAGAGATTCACTAACTATACCAGGGAATTTAATTTTTTGAATAGAGGTTAACCGTATTGAGATAACCTTGTTTTGAATGCTTTTTATAAGTAGAAGTTACTGTGAATTCAAAATGACAACTACAAATGCTGAAATTCAAGAATAAGCAAGAGCTGGATGCCTCAACAAGCATCATCGAAGAATTCTTAGTAATTAAACCAACACTATAACTAAATTACCCTTCAATATTGGCCTTGGACATGCTAAAGTGTTCCAAACGAACTGTATGCGGACCAAGATCGCAATTACATCCCTAATAAAGCAAAATAAAAATAGCCATTATTCATAGCTAGTTTTTACTAAGAAATTTTACCCAGCAAAACTGAAAATCTAATAGTACTATATTGGTAAGTTGGTCATTGCTAAGGTCAAAACCTGCATTGTAGAATTTGTTGACTCAGAGATTTTGAATATATCCACATACCTTCAATGCTTTGCAGATAAAGCAACAATCTACTTCAGTTCCTCGTTTACCAAGCTGAAAGTTCGCTTTCCCTATTTGTTCCAGCAAAAGACAGAGCGGTGTATGACATTTGCAGACTTCAGACCGCAGACTGCAGGATTGCAGACTGCAGACTGCAGACCGCAGAGTGCAGACCACAGATTGTAAATTAAAAGACACAAAAAATCTTTTTAATAAAGGTGACACCATTAAAAATATAACATCGTGTGACAGTGAGAAAGTAACCTGGGAACAAGGTTGATATTTTTGCGCAGTTACATTGGCCTCATTTCGAAGGTGCTGTTGGCTATTCTTCGCGACGCGACTCTTTATTGACTCACCCGGCATATCACTAATTGCGTTGATTCTTTATTCTTCTTTGATTATAATTTGTGAATTGATAATGACAAGTAGTAATGCCCACTAATGCCTGTCTAAATAGTAGTCTTCTGTAAAAAAAAAAAAGTGTGTAGATTGCGAGCACTTCGTGCTCACTAGAGTTACGCCGACAAAAACATCTAGGATAGGTCACGGACATTTAACACCTTTTAAATGACGTATTTCATCTTAGCAGTATTTAAGGATATGCCAAATAATCTAAACCGAACAGATCCTACCTGGACTCGACGAATTACCAGAAGTGCATTTTGAATTTCTAAATAGGCAAATCGACAATGGCTTTTTTAATGGGCCAATCATCGCTCATGCTCAAATCCTAGTACACAGGTGGGACCCCCGTAGAATAAGGATTCCTGCGCTGTTTCACAGACAGACTTATATAACCAGAGTTTAGTTTCGTCTGTGGTGTAGGCTAACTTGCTAGCCTGTTGCTATGGATTCATGAGCGAGTTTGTGACATCAGCAGACATTATTCTGCTCTAATTCAGTACAAGAAAAACAGCCAATAACTCCTTCAGGAATCAGCTCGGTGTAATTTACGTGAAAAATATAAACCTCGCTTCTAGGCCTTACATGTACTTCTTGGAACAAGGTAATGTTGATGATGACGCCACCTTTATTACGATATTTTTGGTTTCATTCAACTTACAGTCTTGCTGCCTCATGCAGTCTGCAGTCTGCAGTCTGCGGTCTGCGGTATGTAGTCTGCAGTTTGTAGTCTGCAAATGTCATACACCGTTTGAATTCAAAATTATGGTACTAAAAAATGCGTTATTAACTATTATGTGGAACTTACCGTTAAATCTCACAGCACAATGCACTCCATCCACTGTGATTCCATTCTTCTTTAGTGCATCCTTTTGTTTGTTGACATTAACAATCAGCATTTTTAGGTTTTCCCTAATAATAATAAAAAGTAAAGTTACCGGTAAACTGAAGTTATTACTAAACCGAAAAAAAAAAAAAAGAAAAATGAAATACCATACTGCTAGTCTAGTCTGCGGCAGATAGTTCTTATATATAAGACTTGAAAACATAAGGTCGGGTTTTAGAGGCCCACTAATAAATTAAGACCTTTGCAGTAAAATTTTCAAAATAATAAATTTGTTGTAAATCCAAAAATTATTTCAGCTTGCATGTATAACTGGTCGACAACCAAAAATTACACAGTCAAAAAGGTACAATAAAAATTTTCACTAACAAAACTAGTTATTTTGGAAACAAATAACTATTTGACTAATTAATCAAATTTAAATATAACATACCTGTCTTCCTTACAATTAGCAATAGCTAAAGGGCACACTGATTCGCAGCTCTGATTAGACAGGAATGGTGTGTCTTTGGGGACTACGCCCATTAGGACCTGACTGCGCCCTACAAATGAGAGAAAACAAAAAAAAAAAAGGTATTTCAAAAATTTAAGCACCACTTCATGACCTAGAGTTCAAAGTGTTTGGTTATGTTTGCCCTGCCACTTCGTTGTTA